AGGAAGGGGAAAAGGTGATTGAGAAACGGATCAGATGTTATGAAAGAGCAGTCCCTTCAGAATTCTGAAATTCATGCTGGATCTGGTGAAAATGATCTGTTGAATAGGGGTTGTTGGGTTGAAAAATGAGGATGAGGGAAACCCTATGCTTCTATGAGGGAGGGTGGAGCATGAGAGCAGATTGCATGAAATGGATCAGACACTCGTCGCCACACTGTGTGGGGCACCTCGGTTGGGGGAAAAAGGGATATTTACATATCTGCTGGTGTGGAAAGGTGCATAATCAGAATGATTTAATTGCGTGGAACAGTCACAGACACAGCAAAAAAATCCATAGACTTATTTATAATTTCTTATACACGTTAAGCAACTTAAGTTTACATTTTTACAACAAAGATTACACTTCACATACTATGAAATCAGTTTGAAGTACAATATCCATTCTGTATAATACAGAAACAGCCATTTTGAGTAGAGCAAGATTCCAGAACATGAAACACTCTGAGCAGAGCACTGATATTGGTGACGCTGATTGAGGGGAAAAGTTGCAGATCAAACAATGGTATGGAGTTTTAAAAGACAGCCCCTTCGTATTGTACTGAAGTGTCGAGTCAGCTTAGACTGTGGCTTAAATTTGGGAATGAATCTAAATTTGACGCTATTGATCATTTTATGAATTGCTGGACGCCGAAACCTGGTAACGGCGTTTGCAATTAATGTGCAAAACATGCCAGAGGTGAACCGATCTGCTGTAAACATTTTATCCTGACTCATTGCCTTGGAACGTAAAAGCGTTAAGAACCATATAAATAGGCACGCGCGAACATGATTGACAGCTTCGGGGAAGGAGGCGGGACCTCCGGACTGGCCTTGGCGTCACAAGCGACCAATCATCACGACGCGTCGACGCACGATTAACGTCGTAACCATAGCGAGTGGCGTGTGCTGCGTCATTCTGTCTGGGCGAGGTGGAGAGGAGGGCAAAAAGGGGAAAAAAAAAGCCAGGAACGCCGTTCTCCTGGACGCCACTTGGTCTTGTGAGCTCCCAACAACTGAGCAGAGGTTGAACCACACAGCAGCCATGTAAGTGATAATTTAAAAATCGGCTCGAACGGCTTTGTTCGACAGCGAGCGGCACTTTTATTCACTGCACCGTGCGAGGTGGGAGGCTGGGTTAGGCAGTGGGAGTTAGGCGCCTTTTCGCCAGCCTAGGCCGCTGCAGTTTTCTGAAAAAAAACCCTTAACAAATCCGATGGGGAGGAGGGGAGGGAAACCCCTCATACTGGATTAAAATTGAAATTGAGGCTGCGATGATTTTTTTTTGTCCATGGCATCCGAAACGTGCAAATCTGTTTGAGAGTGCCGGCGAATTTATTCAAGCCCAATCCAGGAGGATTTATGTCTGTATTTGCGAATTGTAGTAGGTTTAACGGATTTGCTGCTGGTAGATTCCAAAATGATTTTGCAGTCGTTTGATTGTTTTATTTTGGGGTGGGGGTGATGAAAAGGCCCTTTTTTTTCTGAGTAGCCTTAAAAAAAACCGCTCTCGGCTTGCTTACACGTGAGTGGAAACGCACGGCAGGCTTGCGGGACTGTCACGTCCCAGCGCAATGAATTCAATTTTCATCTATGAAATAGGCAGCTTTAACGATAAAGAAACATATATATATGTGTTTTATTCATTTTTCTCACCTGATCTTTCTTTTTACCGAGAGAACCGACAGCACGAATGAGGCGCCGGGTTCCGAAACGATTTGAAGGAACTGCGGTTTCTAGAAATTTCTCTCCCGCGCGCGCGCACGCGGGCACACGCACAGACATTTCGGGCTTTCACTACTGATTTTTGTCGGCGTTTCTTTTTTTAAATCTCTTCAGCGATTTGCTTTACTACTATTACTGCTAGTAAAGTGCATTTTGTTTTTTGGCGATCTTTTCACGATGGCACGATTCAATGGGACGTGTGGAGAAGTTTGACTGGTTGCGCAATGTTGAAAGAGCCGCCATTTAGCGCAGACTCGCAAGCTTTTCCTCATCCAGTGCATTCTTCACTGCGCGCACAATTTTTTCTCTCTCTTCGTCGCGTTTTTTTTTAACTGCGGCGTTGTTCAGTGTCCCTTGCTTCGATTATGGAAATGTGCATGCTTGAGTTTTTTTTTCCCCCCTTGACAGGCCTTGCGCGCACAGTACGAGAAAATCCAGAAACTTCGGAGGACCACAAGTGTCTTATGCTTCACAGAAGACTTGTGGGATGCTACGTATTCCAACCGGTTGCAGATTATTTGGGCCAGTAAATGTTGCTGGGAACGTTTGTAACCCGGGGTACCAAGGAGTCTGACTTTCTTTTTTGCTGCAACAGGAGCACTTTTAAAATTTGATTCACTCAGTCAGTACAGGCACAATTTGAAATATGTTAGGAATAAATTGGGCTTTGCTGAGGGTACGGAAAAGGTAAACTACAATATTGCTGGATCGGGAAGTGGGTACTTAAATATTTGCGAGTGGCGAGCAAGGAAGCCGAGGATTATTTACGAGGTGGGAGTAGAAGAGTTTTGGCATGTTCTTCTGTGAAGAACAGAAGATCTTAATGAAAGCAGTTGAATCCCAGCACAGACTTGATCAAGCTTTAACGATAAAGAAACATATATATATATGTTTTATTCATTTTTCTCACCTGATCTTTCTTTTTACCGCGTGAACCGACAGCACGAATGAGGCGCCGGGTTCCGAAACGATTTGAAGGAACTGCGGTTTCTCGAAATTACTGTTTCAATTACTGAATTACTGTTTCAAATTCCTTTCGAGGGTGAAAAGTTCCTCTTTTGGCAAAGTACCAGTGATGGGTTATGGGTGGTATAAAACTTGGAACTAATCGGATGGATATGTATATTCTCGACTCCTTCAAAAAGTGAATGATAAAAGCTTGTTTTGATTTCTAGTAAAATTACCTTCACTGTTGAATGATACGTCAGGGCAGAACACTTTAGGTTAAGCTTGGGCACAAATCTAATTTGTTACTGATTTTTTTTAAAAAATTTTTAATTAAACAATTTTGTGCAACTCTGAGATCACCACTTTAATTTTTTTGGGTTAAGATGTCTTCCATATCTCAATTTCTTCATAAATCTAATCGTTAATGTTAAGACAAGCTGCCTGAATTTTGTTCCTGCGCAGCTTCAAATATCTCTTGTTTCTCCGTAACTGGAACTGGATGTACTTTGTCACCCTTCCCTCCCTGGTCTTCGCAGAAGGTGCACAATGAATGGCGGTCATATTAATTAACAAATGTTCAATGGATTTTCCTTAAATGTGTCCTTGGACATGGCGTGTAACTTCTGTAGGAGGTTCTTCCAGTCCATAATTCTTTGGGAATGGGAAGGAAGAGTTTGCAAAAAAAGTGTGTTGGGTTGTATGCAGTTGCAGCTGAATTGCTGTTGTAACATCTAGCTTGATGTACTGCTTGGAAATATTGTCCATTTTGAAGCAGGTCAGCCTGAAGTTTCTTTGGCTCTGCAGTCTGTTTGCCAGCTTAGTGATGTGACCAACTGGAAGATGTTGGGGTTTTTTTTTTAAATTCATTCATGGGATGTCGATGTCAGTGTCACTGGCACTGGCTAGGCCAGCATTTATTGCATATTCCTAATTGTCCAGAAGGCAGTTGAGTCACGCACCTTGCTGTGGGTCTGGAGTCACATGTAGGCCAGACCAGGGAAGGTCAGTAGAATTCTTCCCTAAAAGGCATTAGTGAATCAGATGGGTTCTTCTGACAGTTGACAAGAGTTTCACAGTCATCATTCAAATTTCAATTCCAGGTTTTTTCTACTGAATTCGAATCCCACCATCTGCTATGGTGGGATTTGAATCTGGGTCTCTGGATTAATAGTCTAGCGATTTAATACAACTATCACCTCCCCAAATACAATTACAAATCTAAAGAGGAACATACCTTAAGTAATTGTAACAGAACAAATTGTCTGCTGGTGAACTTTCTCAAGAAGAGTAATTGAGTGCTGTGGGTCCCAAATGGGTTTGCTGCACTTCAGAAGTGGTCAGACTCGTAAAAGAATGATGGAAATTCTGTTTTGCAAACCCATGGACGCTGGTTGACTTTGTAACTTGTGCTTCAAATTATTTTGGATGTGCACATTCCTGAGTTTTATTTGGTAACTTCATGGGGAGGGGATTATGACAAAATTGGAGGTTAACCTCAACTGCTTCAGTACTGTAACTGTACTGGTGCTGTAGATAGTGTAGTTATCAACATATGAAGACTTCTTCTGATTAGATATCTATGCTTCATCTGACTTTTAATCAATTATTTTGGCTATGAATTCAGCATTGTAGTTGCTTTAAGTTACTGCTCTGCATTAGTTTTATATGCTCAGCATAGACTTCTAAGACTCCATCTGTTCACTTCATCTGTGCTATTTTATCACCAGTTATGGAGTACGTTCATGACTTTAGTATACTTTACACCTGTAGGTGTTAATTTTAACTGTTGTTGTTCACTGCCTATTTTCTTCCTGATTCATTCTGTAATTTACCTTTTAAAGATTCTGCTGTTCCTCTTTTGTATTTGCAGTTGTGATTGTATCTGACCACCTTGCAGTAAGTTCCTATGAGTCATTCATCTAGTCTAGAAATGGACATGGTGAAAGCATAAAGCTCTTAAATGCCTGTAACCCATGATGTAAATTCACTAATGTGTGCTCATCGTTTGTTAATTTTTGAGCTAGTTTGTTCATTTCCATGGTTTACTATGAGTCTCAAAAGCTGAGTTAATGACCTTTTGATGTGGAATTTTATGAAAAGCTTTTTGGAGATAAAGGTACATATCATCAGGCATGGAGATCTATTGTTATCACTTTCAGCCAAGAAGTTTGATCAGACATCTTTCTGAAATAGTAGGAACTGCAGATGCTGGAGAATCTGAGATAACCAAGTGTAGAGCTGGATGAACACAGGCCGAGCAGGAAGGCTGACGTTTCGGGCCTAGACCCTTCTTCAGAAAAATCAG